GTGCCCTGCGGCCACAACCTCTTCTGCATGGAGTGCGCCGTGCGCATCTGCGAGAGGACTGAGCCCGAGTGCCCCGTGTGCCACGCCGCCGCCACGCAGGCCATCCGGATATTCTCCTAAGGGACAGAGCAGCGCCGGGGGACGGGGCGGCGGGAGCGGGGAGCACGGCGAGGAGGAGGAGGACGGGAGCGGGGAAGGGAGGGGGCCAGGAGGAAGGAAAGAAAAGATGCTGAGAATAATAATAATAATTAATAATAATAATAATGACATCCGAGGAACAAACGAATGAGTGAAAGGATAAATTAATTTAAAGAAGAAGAAGAGGAAAAAAAAAAGAAATTATTTTACAAGCAATGTATGTTATTTTTAAAAAAAAATAAGCAGAGAAAGAAAGTGAATAATAGAATTAAAATGAATAGCAAAGCCAGAAATTGTGAAGGGCGAGCGACGCTCCAGCCTGCGGAGTCTTCTTGAGAGCAAGTTCTGGGAACGCACACTGGGAGCCGGCGAGCCGCGCGCTGCGGCTGCCCTCGGGGGCGACACGGGGACCTCTCCGCGCTGGCCGTCCCCGGGGGCCGCAGGAGGGCGCGGGGACACGGGGGGTCCCGTCCTGCCCTGGCCGCCCTCGCGCTCCTCCTTGGCCCCAAGCCCCCCCTCCAGGGACGTCAGCCCAACCGGGAGCTCGGGAAGAAACCAGTCGGAAGAAAGGAAAACGGATGACGGGGATGTGAAAAAGGCAAAAAAAAAACAGAAAAAAAAGAAACCATCAACCTCTGGGAACCTGTTAGAACGAGGGCACAACTGTATTACCTCAAAGATTTAAACAAAAAACCACAGCAGCTAAAGAACTTTTATTGTTTTCCTTTTTTTCTAAAAAAAAAAATCATGAAAAAAATAAAAAAAAAAAAGAAAGAAAATCACAAAAAGAAGAAGGAATTAAAGTGACGCCAGTGAAACCGAAGAAGGTTTGGAAGAACCTCTTGGAATCGCGCTGGGCGATTAGCGTTTATTTTATTATTCTGAGCCACCGCGGAGTCTGGAACTTTGTTCTTTTTTCCTTATCCGAGCAGGGATTTTGTTCGTCCGACGAATCCGGAGTCACTAACAGGGTATTTCAAAAGCTGTTCCCATCCATGGGGGGAGTGTCTCGGCTTCCGTCTTTCCGTAATTCACACTTCATCCTTTTTTCCAAGTGATGCCAGCTGCAGCTACACCGAACACACACACACACAACGTTGGGCTTTTCTTTTCTTAAATATATCTCTATATATATCACACTCAAACCTAAGAAAGACGATCATGCAATACAGGCAATGAGCCCATGCAAAGCCAACATGCATCCCAACAGAAAGCAAAAAATAACCCGAGTTTATAGATATCATTTTGTCGTTGTCTTTTTTAAACTGGACCAAAACTTTTGTTACCCGAAACCGAGTGGAGGAAAACAAGCAAACAAACAAAAAAAAAMMRRARRAAAAAAAWTTCTTTATGGACCAAAACCTCTTCAGCTGTCCTTTACCTGGATCTTCCTGAGGTTGGCCGCTTTTATATATTATATTTTTTTCAGAATGGGACAGAACAAGACAAAACGGAAGCGCTTGCCTTGCGGAGCGTCCCTTGGTCATTTGAGGACTCCTGGTTTGGTTAAACCAGCCGCTTTTCCAGCCGTTGGGAAGGGGCAGCGGATGGTGCCGGTTTGCCCGGGGCTCTGCGGCTGCCCCGGCTTGGCCTAGCGAATAGGGAAAGCTATAAATGTATAGGGATATATACATATATACATATATATGGGGGCCCTTACCGCGTGGAGCGCCCCTATATATGGATGTGTGTGTATCCAGGGCTCTCCATATAGGCTGTTTTCTCCCACCCCGTCTGCCGCCCCTCTGCTCGCCCGTCCCGCGGGGACCCGGGTTCCAGCTGAACCCGCCGAGTTTCGCGGCCGGGCAGAGCCGGTTCTGCGGCGGAAACCGCACAAACGCCCCAAAACAGAAATAAAAAAACACCTGAGGTTTTTTTTTTCCCCCTTCGGTTCCAGGAGACTTTAATTTCCATGATAAAATAACGTTCCCAGGGACATCCCCCTCCTCCTGCTCGGTTTGCGGTGGCTGGTGGCTGGAGCTGGTGATGCGGCTCTCCGGTGAGCYGGGGCTCCGGTGAGCTGGCTCTCCGGTGAGCCGGTTCTTGGGCAATCCCGATCGCCGGTGATCCAGATCTCCAGTGATCCGGGTCTCCAGTGAGCCAGTTATTGGGTGATCCAGTGATCCGGTTCTCCTGTGATCTGGTGATGTGGTTCTCTGGTGATCTGGGTCTTGGGTGACCCGGATCTCCGGTGATCCGAGTCTCTGGTGATCCGGGTCTCCGGTGATCTGGTTCTTGGGTGATCCTGATTTCCAGTGATCCAGATGTCCAATGATCCAGTTCTCCAGTGATCTGGGTCTCCATTGATCCGGTTCTCGGGTGATCTGGTGATGCGGTTCTCCGGTGATCCAGAGCTCCAGTGATCCGGGTTTTGGGTGATCCGGAGCTCCGGTGATCCAGGTCTCCATTGATCCGGTTCTCGGGTGATCCGGTGATCCGGTTCTCCAGCGGTCCGGGCTGCGGATTTGGGGTGGAGGGCTTGGAAAAGGGGCGCCTCCGCTGCGGGCGTCAGCGGTGAAGCCGTGCGGAGGGGCCGGGGGCGGCCGGCCATGGGCCCGGCTTCAGCCGCCCATTAGCAACTTTTTTTGGTTGGAAACGGTAAAAATAATAAAAAAGAACGCGGGGAAGCGGTGCGAAAGGGAGCCGGTCCGCTCGGATTCGTCGCCGCCTCCGCCCGGCAGCTTTGGGGCATCTCGGGCCGGCTGCTCCTCCCGGGGTGCAGGGCCGGGGGTCCCGGGGCGCCCCATGGCCACTCGCAGCCCCCTCCCACCCTCCCACTTTGGGAAGGGGCTCCGGGGATCCCGGGAGGAGCAGGGAGGCAGCGGAGGGAGGGGGGCTCCCCTTTCCCGGGATGCCCCCCCAAGCTTCCCGCGGGAACTGGAGCTGTCCGAGCACGGGGCCCCCGCGCTAAGGGGGGCTGCTTGGATTGGGGGGGGCTCAAGCTGCCCCAATTGGGGGGACGGGGGTGCGGAGGCGCCGTGTTCGTTGGGTGGCTGTGGCGGCCCTTGGCCGAGTGACGTCGTCGTGGTGATGGTGTGAGCGGGTTGTCTTGGT